ATGATAGTGTAGAATAATCATATCCAAGGACCAGTGGTGGGTTTCAAAAAATTTTGGAACCTCTTCTGTAGGTGTGGCCTGCTTTCCGGGTTCACAGGTGGAACCTCTTCTAACCGGTTCGGTAGATTTGACGAACCGGTTCTACCGAATAGGTGCGAACTGGTAGGAACCCACCTCTGGCTCAAGCCCATCCTCTTGTGCGAATGGAGCTTCCCACTCGAATGCAAGTGCCCACCGTTCGTACCAGTGGAGCTGTGTGCATGTATGTGCACCTGCCACTCACACGCCCCTCCACACTCACGCTGGACTGGGCCTCCAAGGTGGAAACATTGGCGACCGTTGGACTACATGATCATGCATATCTTAGCAGGGCTCCTTGAGGCCATAACTGGCAGAAGCAATTTAGTGAACTTTCCTACCGGCTTCCCCATTGATTTTGCTTTGGGGAAGCCGTCAGGGAAAGTATGAAACGGTGATCATGTGATGTGGCTCACTCTGGTGTCAGAATCAGGAGCTGTGAATCAGGATTCTGATTAAATTACCATGGGGATTTCAGAGTAAGAGCATATGCCCCCCTTATTCAGTGCCGTCATATCATTGAACAATTGCTGAATGAGTCGTTGAAACCTGAGGACAACCTATTAACTAGATTTTCTACATACCGTGTTTCCCCGAAAATAAGACATGTCTTATGTATTTGTTTTGCCTCCAAAAGAGGCACCAGGTTTTATTTTCGGGGAATGTCTTCTACTGTCTCATCTCGCAGTGGTGACACTGACAGACCCATGTAGCTGCGCTGGCCCACTTCTTCTGTGTCTGCTTGCCACTGCTGACATGCAGTGCCCCTGGCCTCCATTTCACTGTCAGAGGCCTTCAGGAAAGGCATCTGCAGCCAAGAAACTGGCTCTGAATTGATGCGCACAGCATCCCCCTGCCTCGTTTAGCTATCAGAGCCTTTAGGAAAGGGCTCTGTAGCCGAGAAATGAGATCTGTCGGTGCTTTTGATGCAGAGGTAGTATTCAACAGGTTCTGACCAGTTCTGGAGAACCGGTAACAGAATTTTTTAGTAGTTTGGAGAACTGGTAAATACCACCTCTGACTGGCCCCGTCCCCCATCTATTCTCTGCCTCCCAAGTCCCACCTGATCGGGAAGAGATGGAGATTTTACAGTATCCTTCCCCTGGAGTGGGGAGGGAATGGCAATTTCACAGTATCCTTTCCCTGGAGTGGGAAGGGAATGCAGATTTCACAGTATCCTTCCCCTGGAGTGGGGAGGGAATGCAGATTTTGCAGTATCTTTCCCCTGGAATGGGAAGAGAATGGAGATTTCACAGTATCCTTCCCCTGGAGTGGGGAGGGAATGGAGATTTCACAGTATCCTTCCCCTGGAGTGGGGTGGGAATGGAGATTTCACAGTATCCTTCC